AGTTATTTCCGCTAATCTGGCATTTAAAAAAATGGGGTTGAGGGTGTGGTGCTTATTTACGGTAGAATACGGTATATCGATATATTGCGAAGGAGCTTTAACTTTTCAATAGAATAAAGGCTAATTTTTAAATATTTTTTAGAGTATTTGGATAAAGGTCAAATTCCACCAATCAACCGAATTTTGGTTATTAATTAAAAAAAATTTTTTGGATGTAAAACTACAACACTGCAAATATTGTTAAAGTAGATTTAGAAGCTATAGCGATAAAAAATATGTATCATCGGTATCAATTTCATCATGGTTTCATAAAAAATCGGTACGTACTAATTAATTTTGATATTAGACTATGCCGTGAACGGAATTCGCGTTCGTAGTACTAGCTATAGTGTTACAAGGGGTTATTAAATAACGACCTTGAAACTATTCCGACGCAGTTTGAACTACTACAACATACAGTTACACATTTAGTGTCTATTTGTTCGTGTAACGGATTGACCAATCAAATCGAAACCTACAGTACACATATCTTAGCGTTAGTATTGGGAGGTTTCAGAGTTAACGTGTAGAAATTTAATTTAGACGACGTATTTATTTACAAATAAGCGATGTATCAACTTTATTTTCCAATAAATTTGAAATGATAATTTTTGTCGTTGGAAAGACTTTTTATTTCGGATCTTCAAAAACTCCCATTTCATTTTCCGATGAATTTTAAATACAAATAAGATTTCTCAATTTCAAATGCAACTTCACAAATAACGTAGTTACATATCGGTGTAATCAGTAAAGTAACACAAAATTTAACAATTCGAGAAGAGCGATAATTTGTACGGGGAAAACAATTCTCAAATTTGTAATTTTAAAGATAGGTACATTTGACGATAGATAGGTTATTACTAGAATAAGGTTTTTGTACAATCACATGGCGATATCTAGGTTTTTAAAAGTATAACCTAGAAAAGTATCTTGAACTTAGTTGTAAAATATATGTACACATATATTGCTATATTATTCTTATTTATTTTTTAAATGATCAGAGGAAATTTAAAGAGAAAGCATCCCTAATAATACTTGTACATTGTAACAGTGAAATTCGGTTAACGACTAGTAACTTATAGAGTGGAGTTGCTAATAAGCGAAAGCTTGATTTGGGTTCTAGTAAAGGTTTAGATTTGTTCTTTCGACACCCCGATTGGTAGGCTTCGATCAAGGCGTGGATTGACTTGGTCCGAGGATAGGGTGTCTTCTTGGACGCTGCGGGGGTCACGGGACTTGTTCGGAAGCTATTTACTGTATTTTGAGCTGGGGTTTATTACTAATTCCAACACTCTTGTTACTATTTATGGTCTCTGGTTCAAATAACTAATACTATCCCTAGTATAGTTCTCTATTTTTCAGGTGCGCCTGAGTTTCAATCGTCTTTCGAATTCAGAATTTCGGGGTCACGGGTCACGGGATCACGATTTTGTGCGATTACGTATGTAAGTTTATTTAACAGTAGGGACAATCACAAACTTAATCAATTTGACAATTTTTATATATAAGGGGTCGATTACTAATAAGAACCTTTCTCTCTTTTCCCTTTAGCGAACTATCGATAACAGGTCTTTTACTATTCACGGGGACAAGTCAAATTCGATAACACGAAATATTACAAGCGTATAGTTACTTAAGGGACTACTACTACTATTAGGTCGTAGTTTCGAACTCAAAGGGGAGTTATCCTTTATTTCGATCAAAGATTGAGGCTTTATATACATTCTTGTTATTATGTCTGTTTTACTAACACTTGTGCCCTTTCTTCCCTTTATACCATTACTGTCGCTACTTTCAGTGCTGACATAGCTGTCATAGCTGTCAGATATGGTAGCTACGTCAGCTGCTTACTAAATTTGGTCTAAGTCGACTCAAGCCACCTTGGTCGTCGATCTTAGCCAAATTTCCCTTTTACAACATGCAGAATTTTTTCTAAAATCGACTTCTAGTATAGTACTAATTGTTGAGGTATACCTTTTTCTTTTGCAAATTTTTATAGGAATTTGTTTGTAAAGAAAGATCACGTCTATTTCCACCATGTTCTCACATGACAAACATTTTGTCATGATAAATTAAGAACAATAGTAAAAATAGGAAACTTCATATTTATATTATTTGGATTTATTTGTCGTCATATGTATGCATTTACGAGTCAATTACATTATAGTTTGTCCAACTTTATACATTAATGGCAATTTCTTAGAGAAGTTGCAATCATTATTAACTTAAATTTTCATAAATAACAAATAATTAAATAAATATGGATCTTTATAAAAGAGTAAAGGTGTAACTACTGTTTTCAGCTGATTAAAAATTTTGACAAAGTAACATTTAACTCCAAATTTGGAAAATAGATCATTTCGATATACCTCATGACATCATATGTGTAGCACAGAGGTTACTCCAAAATAACGATAAATACTCTACATAACTTTAATTCTTTAAATGAATTTAATGCAGTTTTGTTAAAATGATGACAGATAAATGGAATGAATCGAGAGAGTGGCTCGACAAAGTTATTACCGAAAAGCTCGTAAATTGTTTTGATTTTAAAGAGTTTACTAACTCCAAAAAAATTGGGGAAGGAGCATTTGCTAAAGTGGTTAAATACGAATGGGAAAGCCGTGTGATGACTGTAGCACTTAAAACATTAACAAGCAGGGACGAAAAGAGTGTTCACGAGTTTGTTAAGGAGGTATATTATTTAATGAGTTTGATAAGTATAATTTTTATGTCAGTTAAATGTCATTATAATATTTATAATTGAATCTTATAAATCTTATAAACTCATGTAAAAGCTTCAATTTTTACATAAAGTTAGTTCACACCCAAACATTATCAAATTTTATGGAATAACAAAAGAGCCTTATAATATTGTGTTGCAATTGGCCGAAGATGGAACTTTACGCGAATATTTAAGAACAAATCCAAACTTTCAGTGGACTGATAAATTGCGCTTCGCCAAAGAAATAGCGCAAGGTCTTACATTTTTGCACGCAAGTGATATTATCCATCGTGATCTTGTAAATATAATATTAGTTATTTCTTTTAAATAGTCAACTCTATTAATAAATGATTATTCTTTTTTTATCAGCATTCAAGAAATATCCTGGTTCATGAAAGAAGAATGATGATTGCAGACTTTGGTTTGTCTTACTATGCAAATGAAGAATCATTATCTTCATCGCCTGATTTCTCATTATCTTCATCCTCCGATTTTGGAATGCCAGCATACATCGATCCGCAATATCTAAAAAATAATTCATATAAACATGATAAAAAATCTGATATCTATAGTTTTGGTGTTATTCTTTGGGAAATTTCTAGTGGTCGCGTACCATTTAATTATCTGCATCCTAACTTATTAATTATTCCCAAAATATTAGAAAATGATAGAGAAACACCCATAGCAGGTACACCAACTCTATATATTGAACTTTACACTAGATGTTGGGATGAGAATCCCACTAACCGTCCAGAAACAGGATTAATCCTTAAAGATTTAGATCAAATCATTCAAGGAATGAAAGGTCATATGAGATTTTTAGAAATGTATAACGTTCCTGAAAATTTACATCAGGTGCATTCATCATTAAGCTTTACTTCTGCGTCACCATCTAGTATTCAATCACCTAATAATTGCATAGATGATGCAGATACGTTATATAATCACGGACAAATTTGTCACATAAAAGGCAGATATGAAGAAGCACTTATATATTTAAATAGATCATTAGAACTTAGAAAGGATAACCCAATTGTATTGAGGGAACGAGGAACGATTTACCGTCTATTAGGTAGATATGATGATTCACTTGATGATTTAAATAAATCATTAGAAATTGAGCCAGATGATGTAGATGCGTTAAGAGAACGTGGTGAAACTTATTATAATATGAAAAGATATGATGAATCTCTTGAAAATTTAAATAAATCTTTGTCCATTAAACCAAATGATGTACCTACATTAAAAAGACGAGGAATCATTTATCGTATGATGTTCAAATACAAAGAAGCCTTAGAAGATATAACAAAACTATTAGAAATTGATCCTAAAAATGCTTTGCCATTAGCAATCCGTGGTTCAATTTATCGTATGATGCACAATGACAATGCAGCACTTGCAGATGTACTTGGATCATTAGAAATTGAACCAAACAATGTATATGCCTTAAAACTTCGAGATCAACTTACAAAATGGTAGAAATTTAAAAGAAGTGAATAATCAAGTTTTATTGTACTTGTTGTATAAATGATAAATGTTCATACTGAAATGTAAACATACAAATGTAAATATTGTAATAAATTAAATGCGCTGTAAGTATTGGGAAACTTATTCAATCTATAGAATTTAACTTGAGCATTTAATTCATAACTGAATACGTAGTGATACATGTGTAATTGTTTGTTTAAACTCATAAAGGACATTTCTTTCTTATAACAGAGTGTAAAAATGTCTTTAAAATTACGGCCATTTAAAAGGACTGTTGTTGATTCAAATGTATTAAAATAGATATTTTTAAATAAAGATTATTGGCACGCTAAAATATTTTGTTTTTGACATGTCTTTGGCAATGGAAAGTTACTTGAATTCTCAATTGATGGGTTATTGCATATAATATCGATGAAATTTATTTATTTATTTTTTTCTGTATTAAGAAAATTTCTTTATTCAAATCAAAAATTGAATAATAATAATAAAACAATAACTATTCTAGTGAAATATTTTTTTACTATTTAAAAAAAATGACGTTAAATTACTGAATAACTATTGAGTAAGAGGACTAAACTTATTATTATACTGATAAATCAGTTTGAAACTAACGAACTAAGAGACAATCAAATCTCTATAGTTTCTCCAAAAGAAAAAATAAATAAATAAATAGTTCTAAAATAAAATAACCAAACTTTGTCATCCTCTGTCATCCTCTGTCATCTTAGTCACAAATAAAATAAAGCTCATTCTCACTTCTCGCATCATCATGATATTCACATAACTTAACACCCATAGCTTTTAATTCCAAAAATCTTTCTTCAAATTCAAGACACCAAAATTCAAAATTATTCTTATTAAATATTATTTTTTTTGGCATATTCTTTAAATTTTCTTTTGCACATTCACCAATGATTTCGATGCTTTTGTGGTCAAGTTTCTTACAACTTCCTAAATCCAATACATCAAGTTTTACCGACATTTCACTTAATAAAATTTTTAAACTCCCATAAGAAATATCTTTATACAATGTGGTAATAACAAACGTTTTTAACGTTTTTGGAAAGTAATTAACCAACATACGATAATCATCATCAGTATATTGGTTAAAAAATGGGTTCCATATAGAAAGTGTTTCTAATTTTGAACATGATTTTAAAAGTTTAAAGAGTACTGGGATGGAATGAAAATCAATGGTTGATTCAAAATGAAGTAAATTTTGACTACAAAAAGTGGCAATGGTTCGTAAAATTGTGGATAATTCTATTGAATGAATTTGAATGTTTAAATTAATATGTGTTAATGGTGATTCATATACACATTCACCTCCATCATTAGATTCCTTGATTTCGTTATTAACATTATTAATATTATTATCATCATTATTATTTTCAACATCTTCTTTCAATACATTTTTAAGTAATTGATCAAGATCTATTGGAATAAATTGTTGACTAATAAAAAGCTTTTTCAATTTTGGAAATGGACCCACACCAAGTGGCATCTTTACCAAATTTTGATCACTATTCTCAATTCTCAACTCTTCTAATTCCGGCCAACAAAATACTTTTGAAGCTATATGATTATCTTGAATAAAAGAATTTTTTATCACAACCGATTTCAAATGAGGAGCTTGAGATTCCAAAGCAGAGAAAATTTTATGAATAGCATTTCCAGCCATATATGAAGAATAATTGGAAATTACTATATGTTTCAAGGAAAGTTGTGATGTTATTAATGAGATTGCTCCAAGGTTACCAGTATTTAAATCTTGAAGTTTTAATATTTTTATTTTTTGACAAATTTTTGAATAATATTGTTCATACGTTTCATCATCAACACCTTTAGGCATGAATTCTACAAGATTTGATAAACACATTCTAGCATTTGGTAATCTTGGTATAACTCTAAGATAATCAACATTCTTCATACTATAACATTGTTGAAATTGAAGATCCAATAAATCAAGTTTTATTCCCGCAGTTAAAAAAATCTTGAAAAATTCGATACTCAAAGTTGGACACCAAGCTGCTTTTAGTTTTTGTCTCTCTTCAGCTCTATAATGAGATATTTTTGATGAACCAGTTTCATTATTTGCTGATGGTATGGAAATGTTAAAAGATGACGTATGATAATTATATCTTGCTAAGGTATGCCAAGTACTTGATGGTGTAATTTTGATGTTAACATTGGTTTCATCAATTATTTGAAGTGGTTCAAGGACCTCCAAATACCATTGCTCTAAGCATAATATAAAAGTTTCATATTTAAACTTTCGTAAAAAGCATGGATAATAAAATAAACTATTGTTAAATCTAGTTTTAATTGAATTATTGTTATAAAAATTAGAACTACTACAATCACCAGTCATTTCAACATCAGCGTCATAATAAGTTGGTAATAGGTAATCAGGTAATTTTAATCCTTGAATCAAGAGCATAGTTCTAGTATCATCACTAAGAAATCTTGAATAAATATCAAAAATCTTTTCCGATGGTTTCGTAACATCAATTAGCATAAAAGGTTGTCTCCACAGTATTGGTATCGCGGATTTACACCAATCCATGTTCACTAAAGTACATGAATGAAGTGATTTTTTATCATCTAATAAATAATTGAATATATGATCAAGAATTTCAGGAAATAATTTCATTTTTTCAAAAAGTTGGTTTTTTTTTCAAAGAAAATTTTGTTTAGAGTGATACCGGAAAAAATAGGTTACCCTTGGATTTTTAAGGCGTATCGGTATTGCATATATTTCTGCATAACGTTTCACAAATTGTGTACGAATTAACGTAACGGTAATAGACACTAATCCCGTGGCGTAGCATCGACGATTTTTTTGATTTATTTGTTTAAATTATTTGTTTAAATTAAATAATCGCTATCGCTATATATCAGTCTATTATGAACAATCATAATATTTTATTCTTTTAATAAATTCCTGTTCAATGTCATTTTAAAATTCCTAATTTAGATTTTTAAACATACAATTATCACTACGTATTTTCAAGATTTGTGTGGCGTTTGTATGGTGATTATCGTTACATATAGCAACAACTATGTACACAGTGACAGGATAGTAACAAGGTAACTACGCAGTAACGCTAAAAATTTTTAAATGAATAATTTTAATAATGGGACCCCTGAATTATTAATAAGGCCTCTCAAAAGATAGAGTTCTTCCCTTGACAATGACCTTGCAGATATTGTAAATAAACTTGATTTTTAAGACAAAAATCCCCAGTTGGTTAGCGTCAATAATTTAAGCACAAGTGGGAAGTACACATTACACACTGCTGAGTATTTGGATTATCTCATTGCAATGAAAATTTCACTCATACTCAAACTCATTTAAGTTAGTAATATCGATATAGTAAAATCGCCAAGGATTTTTATAAGCACTAAAGGAGACTCCTTATATTTCAAATTAGACGTTATTTTGGATCTTCCGGATCGTATTACGTTACATTACATCGGGATTTTTGTTATTGGTCAAGTAATGAAATTTTCGTGCAGGTGCTACTAATATTAGTAATTGCTACTAATATTAGTAATTGAGGATTAGTATAAATATATTTGGTTAAAAGATATCGATATGTACGGACAGACATAACTATATTCTGATGACCCCAATTATTATACTGCTAAACTTTAGATCTGTCTTTAAATTTCATATACATTTAGTTTTTATAATCATTTAAAACGAAGTGTATGTATGGTTTGATGTTCGTACAAAAAACCTTGATTGATTGGAGGTGATTTTCATGACACAATCTAACGTTAATTATCACAGCGGATTGATCGTAAATTTGAATACCCTAAATGAACATTGAACATAATGAACAGATCGACGCACATTATTATAAGCCCTGAATAACATGATTTATATCGATATGATATGGAAAAAAATAGTAATGTTGTACAGTAATTTTTTTTTTAGCAATATTCATTTTTCTAATTTACCTTTTCAATATTTAGATTACTAAATGATTACTTTATTATCACGAAATAACAGGAATGGGCGTTAATTAGAAAAATTACCCCTTAAAAATAACATATGGTTCCAGAATAACGCCCAAAATAGCACGTACCCCTAGTACAGAACCTAACTTTCGGTGCATTTTTTTTTGGTAGTATACTTTTTTATATAAAGAGATGCATAAAAGTTTTATATTTGTTTCAAAATAACGTCCATGCGAGTACTCTAACTAATGCGCATACACTCAAGTTAACGTGTGGAAATGCGGTAATACATTATTGATGATTTATTCTTGAAAAGAAACTGAAAAATAGATACCTTCTGAAAAAAAAAAAAATAAAAAAATAAAATAAAACGAAGATTAAAAGAAGAAAAATAAATTTCAAGGTATTGCCTATATCAAATAGAAAGAGTGCTGCTCGTGTCACTCGACGGGTAGCCTGCTGTTGTCCTTATACCGATATAATCTTTTATCTGATATATCGTTGGCTCTGTAACCGAAATGGAATTTTAAAGATGCAAAGAATCTTGGATAAACTTAAAAACATAAGGCTGTAGCAAGTCCTTAATTTAAAGATGTAACTTATGATGAAATAATTTATGGATTGTAAATGTTCAAGCAAGGTATAAGTTCCTGACCTTTCAAATCCATTTAATGAGCTAAATTATTGAATTTGTTGATGAAACCCACCTTGTGAATTAGTTAGATAGTACCTTTTATGGCTTATTTTTCTATAAACTACTAGTTCTAGTTATAATTTATAACTACATTGCTAAAATCGTTCATTTTTGCGATAGCGTTAAAATATTCTAGATCTGGTGTCAATTATTAATAATATAGGTAGTTAAGAGGAATTTTCATAGCAAATCGCAAATTTGGTTTCTTACTAGCACAATTAACGAGGTTTTGACGAGGCTTTTTGACGGAATATGAAAACTTAGTAATTTTTCATACTCCGTCAAAAAGCCTCGTCAAAACCTCGTTAATTGTGCTAGTAAGAAACTAAGTTTGCGATTTGCTATGAAAATTTCCTCTTAACTACCTAGATTATTAATAATTGATACCGGATCTAGAATATTTTAATGCTATCGCAAAAATGAACGATTTTAGCAATGTAGTTCTCAAGATGTTTAAAATTCTTATGTTTTTCTTGCATTTAAAAATTTATCAGATGAATAGATTTTCATTATGACGAATTATAACAAATTAATACAAACCAAATTTTATTTCTAATATAGCTTCATTACTATTTTAGACTTTATTATAATTTAATTATAAGGATTTGAAAATAGCCACGAACCTTCATGATATTTAATATACTAAACTAAATTTCTTAAGAATCTAATTCAGTGCAACTTTTGAATGCTGAACCCACATCAAGATCCTATAAATATGTACATGCGTATGTACGTAGGAGTTAGCAATGTACGCTAAATAAATTCGTAACACTTTTCGTTCGATCAATGTAATACGTAGAGATTAACAATGTACACTAATTAAATTCGTGTGACTTTTCCACTAGTATTTAATCCTCTTTTTTTTGTCTCTTATTCATTGAGAAATAGTATTGGCAATAATTCGACAAATATAATTTTATTAATGAAAATAATTCCATAAATAAAAATGAACGAAGTCAAAATAATTTGTTTGATCCCAATATACAATTGGGACTTGGTATTTGTTATCATTATGGTATAGGCACTACTAAGGATGAAAAGAAAGCATTTGAATGTTATTTAAAATCTTCTGAAGGTAGTAATTCTAACGGGCAAAATAATCTTGAATCTTGCAATAAGCAAGGCATAAGAACTATTATAGATGAAAAGAAAGCATTTGAGTGGTATTTAAAATCTGCTGAAAGTGGTGATTCCGATGGGCAATGTTATCTTGGATTATGCTATGAAGAAGGTATAGGCACTACTAAGGATGAAAAGAAAGCATTTGAATGGTATTTAAAATCTGCTGAAGGTGGCAATTCCAGTGGGCAATGCAATTTTGGAAGATGCTACCATCATGGCATAGGAACTACTAAGGATGACAAGAAGGCATTTGAGTGGTATTTAAAATCTGCTGAAGGTGGTGATTCTTATGGGCAATGTTATCTTGGATTATGCTACCACTGTGGCATAGGCACTACTAAGGATGACAAAAAAACATTTGAGTGGTATTTAAAATCTGCCGAAAATAGTAATTTTGATGGGCAATGTAATCTTGGATACTGCTATGGAACTGGCAAAGGCACTGTTAGAGACTATAAGAAAGCACTTGAGTGGTATTTAAAATCTGCTGAAGGCGGTAGTTCTATTGGACAATGTAATATTGGATCCTGCTATGAACAAGGTATAGGCACTACTAAGGATGAAAAAAAAGCATTCGAGTGGTATTTAAAATCTGCTGAAGGTGGTTATCATTTTGGACAATATCAACTTGGATTATGTTATCGAAATGGCATTGGAACTTTACCTAATCAGAAAAAGGCTAATGAATGGTTGAAAAAAAGCTAAAATTAGTAAACATCAAAATGCAATTAATTTTAATGATGATATTGATGACTTTCTAAAAGAATTTTTAAACAAAAATAATTTATTACTGTGGATTCCATTTAGTGAATTAGAAATCATAAAAAAAATAGGAAAGGGTGGGTTTGCCACTGTATATGCTGCCGGGCGGTCACAGATATTAACAGACGGCAGTATGATTAATCAAATGGTTGCGCTTAAATTATTTCATGGGTCAAAAAATAATTGTAAGGAACTTATAAAAGAGGTAAATATTTAGTGTAATGATATTTATTATTAAATGGTTCACATTATTAATACAAATAAATTTTAAAGTTAAATACATATTTAAATATTGGAAGTAAAAATTCAACCTTTTTGCAATGTTATGGAGTGTCAAGAGATGAAGCCACTGGAGATTATATTTTGGTTATGCAATACGCTCGGAACGGATCATTACGCCAGAATCTTAACACTATTGCACAAATGACGTGGGAAAAAAGATTAGAACTATTATCTTATATAGCCTTCGATCTTCAGTTAATTCATTCGTATGATATTATTCATTGTGATTTACATAGTGCTAATATATTACAAAATGATTTATATAATGCTTATATTGGTGATTTAGGCTTTGCCAAATCAATCAACAATTCATTAGATTCAGAATCTAGAGGTGTTTATGGTGCATTGCCATATATTGCTCCTGAAGTTTTACGAAAAGACAAATTTACTAAAGCATCAGATATTTATTCTTTTGGAATGATTATGTGGGAGATTTCTTCAGGAACAGTTGTATATCCTGATTGTATAAATAATAACGATAATTTAGGCTTGGCAATAGAAATTTGCAATGGTTTAAGACCACCTATTCCTAAAGGTACACCTCATTCTTATGAAGAGCTTTTAAAAAAATGTTGGGATAATGATTCAAAAAGTCGACCAACTGCTTTGGAAATTTCTGAAATTATCAAGTCATGGAAAAATAATGCTGATATATTATCGGAATTTCTAAAATATGATAAAGAGATTGCAATGAAAAATATAAATTATAATATTGATGCCAGTACAATTCATAACAGCCAAACACATGAGATTATTACTGATAATAATATTTACATTGAAGATATTGAAAAATAATTTAATACAATTCTAGTGACGATCATAAGTAA